GTCGTGGGGGGTGCACAGTGTGGTCGCGGGGCTGTGGACCGGGCCCGGGTGGGAGGGGCGGGATACCTTCACCTGGGTCTGAGGGTCTGAGGGTCCGAGCAAACGCAAGGGCCTTCCCCCACCCAGAGAGAGGCCGCAGCTGCCGCCAGAAGCTGCCCGACCTGCACTGGGCAGTGGCGAATGCCTTGCCCCCTCGGTGCCCCTTCCCGCCTCTGTGTCCTGGAGCGGGCGTCACTGCCCCCCCCCCCAGCTCCAAGCCAGCTTTGTAGCCCTCAGGGCCAGCCTTCCCGATGGGTCCCCCCGGTCAGTGTCTCTGACCCGCATCCATAAAGTGTCCGCAGCGAATCGAGCAAAACCATGGAATCCCAGCCGGACTCCAGCCATGTTCTTATTAACCAGGAGCGATCCCTGAGCGCGCACAGCCCTGACGCGCGCTGGGCGCCCTCCAGCACCTGAGTCAGCGGCCAGTGCGTCCGGAATTGCATTAAACCATCAATAAGCTCCTTTCTAAAAGCGGGCGCACACTCAGGCCTCATTTTATAAATTAAAACAAATCCTGCACCAGCTTAATTTGGGGAGGAAATGGGTAGGAAGGCAGGTGGATTTGGGGGTCCCTGTCAGTGCGGGATGGCAGCTGGTGACCCTGCCCAAGGCACCCCAGAACCAGATGGGGAGATGGGGTGACTTCAGCTGGAGGGCCCGTGGCTGACGCAGCCTGTCCCTCCGGGAACCAGCGGCTGCTCCGCGTTGTGCATCCACATTGTGTGTGGGACGCCCCTTTCCCAGAGGGGAGGCCTCAGGACTGACCTTCCCATCACCACTTCTTTCACTCGAGGACACTGGGAAGCTCGGGGCCACCCCCAGCCTGCGGAGGGCCGGCTCCCAGGACTTGGTGGAAGGATTTTCACTGACTGTGCCGCCTCTTTGGACAGAAACCCTGCCAGCCAGCGCCCCAGCCTCGGGGGTGGGCGGGGGATGGTGATGGGTCCTGTTTCACTTTGTCCCCCCACTCTGCCCCTCTGTCAGGCAGAGTGGCCATGGGCAGGGTGTCCACGGGCAGGGTGTCCACGGGCAGGGTGTCCATGGGCAGGGTGGCACGGGCGGGGTGGCACGGTGGGCATGCTTGAGCCCTGGTGAGGGACCGTGGGTGGAAAGGTACTTGCTTTTCGGCGGAAGGTGAAGCTCCGCCAGCCCTCGCTGGCCCGGGAAGTGGCAGCTTCGTCTGGAAGCCCGACGGTTCTCTGTGCCTCGAGAAGCCGGTGTGTGCAGCGGGCCCGCCGGGCCTGTGGGCCTGGACCAGCCGTGCAAGCCGTGCCTTTCTGTCGCCACAGACCCTCCTCTTCGGATCGGCACCTCATCCCCGTGGCCTTCGTGTCTGAGAAGTGGTTTGAGATCTCCTGCTGACTGGCGAAGCCTTTTTTACCTCCTGGGGGCAGGGCGGACGCCGTGTGTCTGTGTCACGGTAGGTCCCTCTCGTGCGGAACGTGAGGCTTTTCTCCCTCTGCCTCTCGCTGCCCACCCGTCCTCGCTCTGGGGGCTCCTTCCGCCGGGGTCACCCTGGGCGGAACTGCGGTACATGACCTTTCTGAGCCGCCTGCAGGGCTGGGCTGTGGGCTCCCCGCTGCCCCCCACATCCC